GATTTAAAGGTTTAAGATGAAATAGAAAATTTTTTTTGTGTTTATTTATAATTGCCATTGGTTCTATCCAACAGATTATAACAGTAATAGTAGAAATATACAGTAATAAACTATAAATTACTAATTAGTAATTGGTAGGTATTCTTTTTTTGTATATAAAAAGCTGCCATTGACTACTCGGGTAAATGTAGTAAAACTGTAAAAAACACACATCAAATTGTCTCGTTTATGGACTCGAATAAAGATATTGTATCTTAAAACAAATATGAGAGTTGAATATAATATGATTGTAGCTTGTTTACTTAAAAACTAATTGACCGATTTTGTGAACATTCAAAATTGTTCTTAGATGTATCAGGACAATTTCAGAGAATAGTTTGAACCACATTCGAATAATACTAAATGCTTTATCCAATCCGCCACTTTATAAAGGAAGATACACCAAAGACTATCTGCCCGTGAACTGAGTTATGCCTATACTAAAATCAAGATGTACCTATATGGCTAAATAGCTCTATATTTTTTATTTTCCCATTCTTTCACAACCATTTTATGTAACAGACAACAGTTATATCAATAAATTCATTGGTACTTGAATGGTTCTTAAAGTTTATTTTTTAACCAATAGGTGGTTAAACGGTAGCTCACATATCCATTTTTTTCAGCTCATGAAAAAAAAAAAATTTTTTTGTTTATTTAAATGGTTGCCATTGGTTACATATTAACTTTATTATTATTAAAATTAGTATACATGTAGCATATACATTTTTTACAAATATGTTTATAAAAACAAATCTTTGGCACGGGCAACAGCTAGTTGTAACTTGTTAAATTTAAGATTCTGAGTAGAGCGATGAATGCATTGTTTTACAGTGAAGCGTATTAAAAAAAATGTATATAGATCGATTCTGTTAAAAGCAGAACATAATATGCTTCTACAATCATTTTTTAGTGTTGTTAATGGTAGAAACTTTGATCTAGTTCGTAATTTTAAATTAAGGAGATCAAAATTAAATAATTCTAAGAATTTACTTTCGCTGTTAAAATAATTGTGAAACACTTACAAAACAATAAGCGTAGACGAAAAGCAAGTCCTTTTTTGACCAAATCGATTTTTTTATAATTCAGAACGTTTTATATGTGTGAACAATAGACATTTAATACTTTCACCAAATATTTATACAAGTATTATACCTATACAATCTACATGATATAATTTTCAAATATTTTCATTCTTTTTTTTTTCTTCTCTTTAAGTATATAATTGATGTCTTAAACTTCTGGCTTATGTGGAGATGATTATATTTCTAATTACAGAGGCTGCCCAGTGTACAGAGCTATCCTTAAAGGATATATAATTAATAAGTTACACCACATTTCGGAATAAGAACCACGTGGTTGTCCTTTCTCAACTCTACTGCTATCAGACTAAACCATCTTACTTCCGTTGGTTCTGACTCCTATCATAAAATCATATTAACTACCTAATAGACAATAGTCCATCGCCATCTGCATCACTTTAAAATGGCATTGCGTTTATTTATCCGCTCTTATTTATTTTCTTACTGCTTTAGTGCTGTATTACACAAACAATAATATGTTCCATAGTTTATTATGTACTATTTATTTCTCATTACTACCCATATTATCATAACGTTATTACCTACTCATTAGAATAAGCTATAACTACCATTCCTATTTTGATATCATCTCATTATTATAATATATACTTAAATATACTATATTAAATTAACATATTATCAGCGGTAACTGTTAATTGCAAATTTTGAAATGTATGCACCTACAAATGGTTTTTAATCGTTCTAATAATAAAGAAATTATCAACTTTTTCTTTGTTTTGTTTTGGTTTGTATTGATGAAATGTTTCTTTAATGACAAAAGCTCAAAAATATCATCATAAGTTCTTCTTGCAGCAATTGAAATATATTGGACATTTATAGTCACAATATTTAAACATTTTGCAGTTCAAATTTTTACAAAGTCGGAAATTCAAACTTAAAATATTGATTCTTCTAGAATAGAAAAAAAAAATTCAAAACATAATTCGTAGAAACTTAAAACCTTTCATCATTACGTATATTATTAGTTAATATACACAATGAATTTTCAAAATGTTTATACAATGTTTTAGCTATTTATACCACAGTCTTATTCTAACACTTCCTGTACGTTGATTTCTCTTAATTTAGTTCAATCTATCTTATTAAGAAAATACTGATAAGCGATACTATATCAATATAATATAACATAATCCTAAGGATCCTTGGAAATAGATGTTGATCCAACAGCCCAGAATCATTTTTTCGAATACTGCAATGAATATCATTAAATTCAAATTCAACATATAAATTGTAATGACCTACTAAAGAGCAGATCGTTTAGTAGATTTTATACAATTAAGATTCTGAGCGATTAATAATACTTTGATTTTACAATGGTGTGAATATTTTTACAAAATCACGAGAATTCTCAAATTATTCTGTAGTCAAGAATCTATAAAATATTAAATTTTTATATCTTTATCTTAAAAATTTAAGGTTACAAGGTTTCTAATAAGTAGTTCTTACTGAAACTCAAAATTCTAAAAAAAATATTTTCATAATTTTAACAAAATTGGATTTTAGACAAGGCAAAAATATATAAGTTATTTTATTGTAATTCAAAAATTATTTGTGGGGATTCGACATTTTAAAGAATATTTTAATTTATTTAAATTAATTTTTAAGTATTACCTAGCTATTTCGTATAGCGCCTATTGATATTATTAATAGTGAAATAATTCCTATGATAGCAATATAAAATAAATATAATAAAATAAACTTATTACTTATTAGTAATATATAGGCTGATAGACTGTCACTGTTCAGAATCGTTTTTGTATGCAATGATTGAATGATTCATCATTGACTTCCAATTTAACACATTCATTGTAGTAGCATACTCAATGACGAGGTACTCTCGAATTCTTATGTACAACAAAGTGGTACCTTACTCTCCCACTTTTGTTAATGTACAATTACATTTGGCGATCCTTTGAAATTTAGAAGAAAAATAATTTGTAGGTGATAGATTAAAGGCCATGGGCAGAGATATTGATGCCTTTTTTTGTTTTGCTGTTCCAAATTCGATTTTAAGAAATAAAAACAAAAACCAATAGATACGTCATTGTGAAATCAATAGCTCCGAATCTAAGATATTCTTAATAATAATTACATGACTTATAAAATGTTTAGTTTAATTTTTATTATGTATATAATATATATTATTATTATACAAGATTATAAAGTTGATCGTTAAATAAGTTATGAAGTTATTGATTTTCGTGACCAAATAGTGTGTTTTATGAACTATAATTACCATAGTCATGGGTTCGTCAGCAGTGTAAAATGTATACACGAACGTTACATAAGGGAAAAGTCACTAAGAAATCTACTAAATATTTAAAATGGTATCATCCCCTTGGTAGGTAGGTCATGGCAATAAGTCCACCCATTCTATGACCCTTCAGGCTACTCATGTTATGAAATGCATACTTTAGTGTTATTGTGACTCTTCTAGAACCTGGAGTCAAGACTTAACTAATTGCGTTGGTATATGGAGAAAGTCTTATTAACTCAAAACTCAAGAACTTCAACACACAGATATACGTTGTTGATTACATTGGAATAAAAGAAAGGTACGGGTACGTAATTTCTATCCACTAGTCTATTCCAAATAACATTAATAGTTTTTCAGTTTAGTAACTTTATAAGTGTATAGTATATTTTTGGAAATGATTCATGTGTGTAGACGTGTAGTGCGCCCGAAGAAAGCTTAAATTGTGTAATATTTGTATTATCTTCATTCATCATTACTTTTGAATGTCTTTATATTATGATAACTATATAGTCAAAAAACCTAGAACGAAGTTCATGAAACTGCATCAAATTGCACCTGTGTTTGTTTTAAATTGAAATATAATACAAATTCTATACTTATCACTTATTAAAATACAAAACAGATACGAGTATTGTACATTTTAAAACTATATTATACTTTTATTAGTACACCTTTATAATATAATATAAATATATACATATACATATACTTTAGGTATATATTACAGTAAATAAATATAATATATATAATATATATATATATGACATTTGCAGAATGATAATTTTATTTCTTTAACACCTACACAACTATTATGCGTACATTGAATGGTTGATTTATTACACTTGATGAAACATAAAAGATATACTACACGTATACAGGGTGATTTATAAAATCCGTTATTCGTCCATACCTACGTGTTATGATTTGTCTTACTTACACGTAAAATAATAGGTAAATTGAAACATAAATACAAATTATTTGTTTTCAGTATAAATTTACATTACATTATTTTTTATGCGAAAATTAAAGCTATGTTATTGACCAATAAGTTACGTTATATCAATATTTAATAAAAAAAAAAACCTGAAAATAGGTACCAACTAGTTAGTCCATTATAATGTATAGACTGTTTGTATACAATATTTAATTGCAATATAATATATCCTAAGGTCTGAGGAATATACTAAGCAGATATTGATTTTGTAGATTAAAATTAAAATTGATAGAAAGTATTATTGTATTCATGAAATTTGTTGTTCCTTATTTGCATGCAAAATAATGTAAATTACTAAATATTTCTTATGTATATGGTATTAAAATTAATTATGGTATTATACTATTATAAGATAGTCACTTGCGTTTAACTAAAACACAAGACCGGATTCATAAATAAGTATTTTAAAATACCAGTATAAAATGCGATAGATAAAAGTAATACGTTTGTTAAATTGCAATTATAAAAGGATTTATATACTTATGCATTGAATAAAACCTAGCTACCTAGCTGGGCAATAGAAACATTATTTTATCTTTAAGCTTAGTTTTATAATTAATCTTTTTATAAATTGAAACAATTAAAGTCTATATTATACATGCATCTATATACCTATAGTTAATTCAATCGTTTGCTAATGCCTACAGGAATACATATTATAAAATTAGGCGTAGTGCCTAAATACTGTTAAAAAGAGTTCTTGTTACAAATATTATAATTTAAGATACATTTATTTTAATTCATAACTAAATAGCCAATTTCTTAAATTTACTAAAGGCTAATTTTTGTAACTAAATGTATTGAACTTACACAAAATGCAATGCCAGCCGTTGTTCACTCGACGATTTGTTCTACGATTACAAATTTTAAATCTAAGAAACCTACATAATATTATACAAAGAATTGGACACATGGGTCAAGAATAAAATGTCATAATGTTTTAAATATGATTTTATTAATTGTTTAACAATTTGTTCGGTTTTTCAGCCATGGGTTATAAGAAAGATGGTCTTATAAAAGATCTATGGCCAAATATTCGATTAATACAACTATCGGGCCTATTCATATCCGAATACTATGACGATTATTCTGGACTTGCCGTGTTGCTCCGAAAGATTTACAGCTGGATCACTACAATAATAATATACTCACAGTTCATATTTATTGTAATGTTTATGGTCACTAAATCCAACGATTCAGATCAGCTGGCTGCTGGCGTGGTAACTACATTGTTTTTCACCCATTCGATGATCAAATTCATGTATTTCAGCACGGGTACCAAGTCGTTCTACAGAACTCTAAGTTGTTGGAACAATACTTCTCCACATCCTTTATTTACAGAATCTCATTCGAGGTAAATTAAATTATAAGTTGTTTGATTGATAGAAAATTAATAGCTAATACGTAATAAAATGTGAAGCAGGTACGACAATTACTCGATTAATTTGAGAAGTGAGAAATCTGATTATATTCAAACGAAATTAATTACAGTTTATTAAACATCGATAAATAAAACATGGATTAAGGCACCAGAATTACATTTTAAACATATTTTTATGAAATTGTTAATAATGTTAATATTGTGATATTAAAAAAAAAAAATTTAAACCATAAATTAAAATTTACTTCCAATACATATTTAACCAGTAAAATAAAGTAATTAAAATATTAAATCCTATGACCCATAAGTATAGTATTGTAATTTTAAATTTGTAAACAGTAATTTAAATACTACACAATATAATGTTAATATTATGTTCATTTAAATAAATGCAGAAATTAGTTTTCCAAAACTGAATTTTGAATGACATTATTAAATAGCAAAACTGTTTATTTGAACCGGTATTATTTATGGCAGACTTGTTATATTTTTAAAAAGTTTAGTTAGGTTTTTGTGTATATTTTTTATTTAAATAGGTACATAGTGATTCACCAAGAATGCTCACCATCATTTTTCCCTAGAACAATGTATTTATTCAAATTCTGGTTTTTGTAATTCTTAATTAGGTAAGGTATTCACTATTTTATGAAATACTTACTGAGGTTTCATGCTTTTTATAAATTATCATGTGTTGAATGTTGATATGTATTTTATGTTTGAAAAAATATTCGAGAATAGTATGTAGAGGTAGGTACTTTTTATTAGGATTCTATTATTGGATTATTATCCTTAGTACATAAAGGTTGATAGCACAGAAACAACTTGTTTAATTCTTGATTAAAGTGCGTTAATATTTCAAACAAATCAACTGATTAACACTTTACAGTAAAAAAAATGAATTATTCGAAAAAATGTTGTACCACAACAGCGCAACTCTTTCTTAAATGTCATACAAATCTGATATAATATAGTCTTTATGACCTAAAATTAAAGGAATATTGTACCATTTGTTTAGGTGTCTTATAATTTATGTATATTAAAATAATTTCGTAACATTTTTGATTTTAGATTCCATGCAAAGTCATTATCTCGGATGCGACAACTTTTGATTATAGTGTCGATTGTTACAATTTTTACAACGATCAGCTGGACAACTATTACTTTCTTTGGTGAAAGCGTATGGAAGGTTCCTAATCCTGAAACATTTAACCAAACAATGTATGTTCCAGTACCCCGTTTGATGTTACACTCTTGGTACCCATGGGATGCAAGTCATGGATTAGGTTATATTGTGGCTTTTGTCTTGCAGGTATGCTTAATGTGATTAAATTATATGCAAGAAAAATATTATTTATAAAACATTCATGAATATCCTTGGAGATTGGTTGAAAGGGTAGAACATGAATGTAATTTAAAAAGTTTAATATTTTTAAAACACTTATTTTTGTTTACATAATTTAACATACCTACTATTCGTGTACAGTATCTCGCTGACCTATAATTTATGTGTAATAATTAATAAGGTATCAATGGAATAATAATAAAAAAAAAAATATGGAATAAATGTATATAATAAAATGTAAAATGTATTAGTTTAGTTAGATAACCCTAGAATAAGGTTAACTTTGATGACCCTTTTTGTTTTTTTTAATTGACAAAAAAGTTTTTATTTTTTAAATATTCTAAATTATACATATATTTAAATTTTCATAGTTCTTAAAATTGACGATCTCAAGGTACCTAATTAAAAAAACTTGTGAAATGTCCATTTAGTTTTATTGGATATTCATAACGCTCAGTCACTCAAACTTAATGGAGCTTTTATTCTCATCATTTCTGGTGCATGCATGTGAACAACTTCAACACTTGAAGGAGATTTTGAATCCATTGATCGAATTAAGTGCTACCCTTGATTCATCAGTTCATAATCCAGCCGAAATATTTCGTGCCACTTCTGCTAAAAATCAAGCAATAAATGGCATCGGTGAGTTATTATTTATTAAATTGAACAATATATTAATAAGTACTAACAATATTAGTATATGCTACTTAATTCATCTAAAAAACCTTGGAAGTAATTAAGTCAATCTATTGTATGGTGGGCGTCGTACTTATTGAGTTGGTCACTGTAATATTATGCTTTGGATTTGAATACAATAATAGATTGTTGCATAGGAAAATGATTCTGAACAAAGACCGAATGGATCGATATTTTATTATATATTTATATTTTTTACATTGGTAATATATTTTTCTATTAGTAGGTAACACTTAAATAATAGGTTGAAGTTGAATTTATAATTGGGAACTAAAATTGTCATTTTTCGTTTAAATACTTATCTAATTTCATCGAACTTGACGTCAATAAAAAAATTATATATTTGAATTTTTGATATTTTTGTTTTCTGTGATAAAAACTTATGAGCAATTTTGTATTACAATTTAAAACTCTAGCTATGAAAGTAAAAAAAAATATTTTTAACTTTAGAATAATTAAAAATTTGCTAATTTATCAGATTTTAACAAAATATATGTACTTGATATTTCCTCTGCAAGGAGGGAGGGTCATAGGAAAAACTACGGGTCAGGCCAGTTAGGCCATGCCTAATACTACCTGGATAATATACTGACTTAATAGAATTTAAAATTAAAAACTTATTTTGTAATTAGAATTTATTTTCATATTTATTATTTGAGCTGTCCTAATCAGATTTTCTAGTTTTACTTATTTGGAGGGTTACCAATGTAAAAATAGTGAATGTTATAAGCATTACAAAATCGGTCGGAACAAAAAATGGTAGGCAGCCCAAAAAGATATCTACGTTAAAAGATTGTGCATAGTAATTTTTATATTTTTATACCACTATATGAACAACTTATGTGGGAACTCATATTAAATCATAAAGCTTTTTAACTTTATTTTTATTTTCACTTTTAAAAAAGCGGGTAAATGGGTAATGCTCTGCAGTGCCAACATTCGATGTCTAGAAAGCTGTAATGGATGTATTAAATTTGAATTCAATAATCATTATGTACGAAAGATGATTCTGAGCAAAGGCGGTTTGTTAGCCTGTAATATTTCTAAGTAAATTGTATGATATTATTGTGATTAAAGAAATTTATTTTACCATTAGTCATTAGTACTACAGTAGGTTTTAGTATACTGTGTGGCAAGAGCGAGATGTGAGCTATTTCAGTAACGGGCGACTAGAATTTACCTCGAAGTTCCATGTCAAGAAAATTGACAAATTGAATAAAGTTTTACGTTTATTTGTTAACATTCTGTATTTTAAGAACAATTTATAATAACTAAAATAACAAAGTACTATAGATTATTTTTAATCAATCAATATCTGAATAAAAGAGAAATATTTGGTAAGGAAAAAAATCAATAGAGCTAAGAGTGTTCATAAAAATACATTTCATACCATACAATTTGAGGTAGGCACCTACAAAGAAAAATGGCAAGAAACAAAATATGTATTTGTCTTAGTTGCCAAGTAGATTAATATGGTATTGACTTTATATAAAAGTAGGTACTTATAGGCTATAGATACATGTTAATAGTTCTTGAGATTTATAAAACACTTATTAAGTTATAACTAAATATATATAAAGATTAATGTTTACTTTTAAGTTATGTGAATAACGAATAATCATACTTATGTGTATATGAGTATGAATAAAACAAATAAAATAAAATATGTTCATTCCAATAATATTTAATTGTGCCTAAATAAATTAAGCTCTGACGTCATAACACATTAAAATATTAAATGTTAATAAACTTATTATAAGTAATATTCTATTCGTTTTATTTCAAATCTATAAGCATTACATAATTTTATTTATCTTGAAGCAGCCAAAAGTTTTGTCATTCTTATGAAATAATATTTTTACTATTTATAATCGGAAGGCTGGGCGCTTGTATAATTATTGTTCGGAACATTTTTGATTCCATACATAATGTTCATGACTAGCTTGGATATGTTATAGATATCTTATTTTACAGTTATTTCTTTTACGTTAAAATTTTGCATTTAAATTTGAGACATGTTTGTGAGTTTTATTATAATATTTTAATTTAATTGAAATCTATAAAATAATGTTTTCTTAAATTAAAAATGTGCTATAAGGGGTAATCGTTTTTAGGACATTTTTACTTACAATTATTGTTTTTTTAAGAAATTACACTTTTTAAGATATTTAAATAAATTGTAGATACTTATAATGTATTTAAATTTGTTTTCATAAAGTTATTAAATTAGGTTAAATCGACATTAAAAGATAAATGTTGATGCTTGATTAGTGATTATGCAGTTTTTTGATAATTTTTTAAATTAAGTAAACCGAGTAGAGATCAAATATAAAATGTTTTAAAAATTAATATCAGATCGCGATTATAATGGGTCTTATGTGAATGAGATTACTGAGTATGGAACAAAAGGGGAAAATGAATCAAACAGAAAAGGACCAAATAACTTAACTAGCAATCAAGAAGTACTTGTTCGATCAGCAATTAAATACTGGGTAGAGCGACACAAACATGTTGTCAAGTATGAAAAATTAATTAGGGATGCTTGTTGAAGGTGTTAAACAATCAAAAATGTATTAATTTGTATTTATAGATACGTGAGTTTAATTACCGATTGCTATGGTTCGGCACTTCTTTTTCACATGTTAGTGAGCACCGTCATTCTCACCATTCTCGCATACCAAGCAACCAAGGTTTGTTGGAATGTCTCATAAAATTACCTTGACAGATATTCATAATATATAGTTTGAACAGTTTGATCAAATATTAGTGTATTCATTTTTCTAAGCCAGATTATTTCGAGTCTCTTTAAAATGAATACAAATATCCTTGTTTATCTATTGTAGTGATGTCAATTATACATTCACCAAGCATGATACCCCCATTTTATCCTTTAATACTGAATTTATTCAAATTCTGATTTTTGGACCAACCCCCCCCC